CTGGACAAGGAAAAGCTAGATAAGATACAAGACTTTCCCATACCTACTAGTATTAAACAGATACAATTATTTCTAGGTCTTGCATCATATTACCAAAAATTCATTAAAGGTTTTTCAAAGATAGCCAAGCCTTTAAATAAATTATTAAAAAAGGATGAGCCTTATCATTGAACAAGAGACCAAGATAAAGCTTTCTAAACCCTAAAACAGTGTTTAATTACAGCCCCAATTTTAAAATACCCTGATTACAGTAAGCCATTTTACCTTCATATGGACATGTCTACTTCAGAACTTGGTGCTGTTTTAGCCCAACTAGCTGAAAACAGTAGGGAGTATGCTATCGCTTACACAAGTAAAAGCATAAGTAAATCTGAAAAGAACTATTCAGTTCCTGAGTTAGAATATTTGGCTGTAATTTGAGCAGTTGAATATTTTTATCAGTATCTAGAATCAAAACTATTTTACCTTATAACTGATCACTCAGCTCCACAATGGTTGAGAATCTCTGAGCTTAAAGACAAGCATACCAGATGGATTATGAGATTAGAGCCGTAAAATTTCACTATTATATATCATTCCAGCCAAAAACATAACAATGCCGACACCTTATCAAGAATGTATACTCAAAAGGAGGAAAATTAGCAAGAAGTATACATGTTGGACTTCACAGAAAAGGATTCAGTAAAGAGTGAAATCACAGTAAAGTTTGTAGAAAAACAATTTATACCTACCAAAGAGAATAGTAGAGCTCCTACATACAAGCCAAAATTACTAGAATTACTTGGGCAAATCAATAATAGAACAGTTAGAGATATTTATAGAGAATTGATAAAAACCTTAAAATATAACCCACCTAATTATTTGAGAGAAGGTTTTCGCCTCTATAAAAATATAAAATTTACTTCAGAAAGAATTCAGTATAACTGGCAATATTGTATTTGGTATTATATTAAACACATTTTAGTGATTGATTAAATCAAAAGACAAAAGTAAAGCATTTAACCAGGGATTGGAGAGTACCTACCACACAATTTTGGTGCGGAGACAAGTTATACTTACCATCAGATGAGTGTATCAAGTGTTATTGTAACCTTAAGTTATGGATCACAATTAAACAGTACCCTATTGATGAAGTTGCTAAGTGTTATTGAGTAACTGATGAAGAGTTAGTCAATAACAAAAGCAAAAATAAGTGGAGTGAGGATGACTTCATTAGTAACTTTACCTGGAAGAGTATTAACCTCATTGACGATACTCCTATAGAGAAATAGGAAAGTGATAGTGTTAGTGAATATCTATTACTAGACTTCGATTTTGCGAAAGGTAAAAACCCAATACTATTCTCAACAGCATTAGAAAATCTTGCTTGGTGGTTGATGTTAATCGAGACCCCATTGAACCACTACTACCAAGAGTTTAACAATTTTTCAAATATTTATCTTTGTAACTCAATTTGGTAGAAGGCCGTCAACCTTGTTGAGTATTTATAACCTTCATACAGAGTAGATCTATTCGTAAAAGACAAAAAATTTTGCAAGTCGGTCACTGCTACCATACATCATAACTTCTAGAATATTATAGAAAACCCTGTCATGTTCTCATTTACAATTAGAGTATTATATTTGTCAAAAAAAAAAAAAAATAGAATCAACAGAATACAACCAAATAAAACATTTCTTAGAAATAGCACAATACCCACCTTATTCTGACAATAAACAAAAGAAGCAGTTGGAATCTAAAAGTAACTTCTTTGTTTTATATAATTACCTACTCTACAAAAAAGATCAAAGAAGAAATTCAAGAAATCAGTTGTTGCGCATAATACAACAACATGAGGTAAAAGCAATACTATACATAATGCACACTAATCAATTAGAAGCTCATCTTGAAACAGAAAAGACCTTTGAAAAAATCAAAAATTGTTATTATTGGCCTCAAATATATAACAGTATAAGAGAATATATCAAGACCTGTGATGAATGTTAGCAACAGAAAAAATATCAGACCCATGGCCCATTACAACCATACTCATCGAAACATCTTTCTACAAAATAGGCATTGATTTTGTAGGACCTTTAGACCTAACTACAAAAGGGAATAAATACATTATTGTAGCAGTTAATTACATAACCAAATGGCCAGAAGCAAAAGCTGTATTTACATCTGATACTCAACAAACTGCATGATTTATCTTTGATGAAATCATATATAGACATAGATATCAAGCACTTAATGTTAACTCTCTACTACCTACAAACAAATGGTTTAGTGGAAAGATATAACTGAACCTTATATGAGTTCTTGGCCAAATTGATTAAACAAGAGTGAGAGTGAAATACTCTTATATTATTGGTGCTCTATGCCTATAGAACTAGCAAACAGGCCATGACGAAATTTATCTCATTTTACTTGATCTACAGAAGAGAAGCCAAATTCCCAAACTTTAAAAAAGAAAATGAGATCTAAGAAAATTTGATCGACCAATTGACAGAGATCATTGAAGAACTACTTGTAAAAAGGGAAGTCACGAAAATGGATATTAGAAAAGCCCAAAAAAGGCAAAAGTTTTATTGGGACAAAAAGCTTAAACATGTACTTAGAATTTTCCAGAAAGGCGACAAAGTACTTTTATTTGATACCGCTCAGATGGGATGTTATACTGGAAAATTCTTACCTAGGTGGCTTGGACCTTTCATTATACATAATCATGTTGCACAAAATATGTACCAATTATGTACGTTAGATAATCAAATTCTTGATGTACTACAGAATGCTCTACTTCTTAAACAGTATTATGAGAGATCTTAAGGACTTATAATATGAAGTATTAAAATTGTACAATTCAAAAGCATTACAGAAAATTTCTGCAATTGCTCTTTTGAAAGTATTCAAAATGTTTATTTGCCTTATTTGCTAATATCAAGGAGAGACATCATCAGCTAAAGCTGGTGATGCTAATGGAACATTTATGGTTGGTAGCACTTATTATTTGCAGAGCTCATAATTAGTGGGAGAGAAATTGTTATGTTAGAAATTAGCATCACATAGATCCTTCAATGCTGCAGTTATGCATGACCAAAAATATGCATGATCTGCAAGACAATGTAAAAGTAAAGGTTAATTACATCGCATCTTTTAAAAAAAAAAAAAAAAATGTGCTTATAATTTTAATGGTTCTCTATGATGTAGAATTTTATTAAATAATTATCAGACTAAAAATAGTAAATACTAATGAAAGATTAGAATAGTAGATAGCACTTCCCTTTGAATTATATATAAAAGATCTTTACTTTTGCCTTGCTTGAGAATAGACTTCGATATTTTCTGAATTCTCATCTATATAGAATAGTATTTTCTATTTTTTTTTATATATATTGTTAGTTATTTTATTAGGTAGATAAAATAGCCATGTCTTCATATACATTAAATTTCTTTATTCTCTTAATAAAACCTAATAAACATTATTACGTGACCACATGACTTAAACAGCTATTATTAAAAGTGTTAAACTAACCTTTTGTATCTCCATATACAATTGTTGTTGGTGCCTCTTTTGAAAAAGCCTTCTTAAATCCTCTTTGTTAAGTTATCATATTGATGCTAAATTAAGCTTCCATTTCACCATAGTTATAGTCTTCATACTATAACAACCTGTCCCTTGAATTCTGTTAAGAGGTAAATTTTAAGTGTGACAATGGTAGCTATATATGTAGCTTTGCTCCAGGTATTCATAATGGTAAATAGCACACTTTAAATATGATGAATAGGTTTACTATAGAAATTATACAGATAGTGAATTTCAAATTTATCTGTAAAAGTTAAATCAAAAAGAAACCAAAGTTGATAAAGCAATATCCTAGAATAGCTCATATTTTAAAAATATCCTTTGATAATATTGATAATTTTGAAAAATATTTTGCAAATCTTGATGGTATACACTTTGAGCAAAATGATTTTATTTATACTTTAGATAGTAAAGACTTTCATAAAAAAAATACACAAAAACAAAATAATATAAATAATTTAACAGTAGACTATATGATTTCGAAGAAAAGTTAATAGTTTTGATTTTATATCATTCTTTTTAAAATTCAAAAGGTTACTTCTCTGTTAGCCTGAATTTAGATCAAAATTGAATTCATGAGTTTTTTTTTTTTAGAGAATAATCAAATTTGTAGTTTCAAATTTATTTTAAAGCAAAACTAGATGCTTGAATTGCTTAAAGGGAGTTAGAGATGAGTGTACTATATCTGATATTGTATTATGCAGTACAAGAATCTTATATTCTCTTTAAAAAATATATACTAAAGTTATCTTAAATTAATACTAAAATTTTTCCATATAAATTATATATAATTTCTGTATAAAATTCTATATAAAATGATACAGAATTCACTGCAAATTTCGTATTATTTGATACAGAATTTTATATAGAAATCTTTTTATTAATAATTTAAATTATATATATTTTATTGTTTTTTATATAAAATTTTATATATATTAAATATAATTAAATATAATATTTGTAAAATTTCGTATATAATAAAATATAATTATTGATAAATTCTATTTATAATAAATATAATTGAGTACAGTCGTTTTCCTTTATAATTACACTGTTTGTTTTACATAACAAAGATGTGATTATAAAATTCTAATAGTAATATGATTATATAGAGTTTTTTAATAAATATATTGCCAACAATTTTTCAAAAAATGGTGCTTATAAAAAGGGTGTGATTATATAGGAGGTGACTGTAGAGGAGGACGACTGTATAAATTTTTATAATTTCATATAAAACAGATATATTCTATATATAATGAATATAATTGAGTATAAATTTTTTATATATTCTATATGTAATAAATATAATTAAATATAAATTATTGATAAATTCTGTTTATAATAAATAGAATTGAGTATAAATTTTTTTATATATTTCATATATTATAAATATAATTGAGTATATATTTTGTATATAATAAATATAATTGAGTAAAGGGTGTGGCGACTTAGTGAAGTGGTGGAGTTGTTGCACTCCCAGACAGCAGGTCTAGAGTTTGAATCCCATAAATAATGTTTTCAAAAAATAGCCCTGTAATATGGTTAACGGCTATTTAACGATCGGTAGGATCTAGAAATCTGTAATCTCGGTTATACTATCTAGAATAGGAGCATTGGCACAATAAATCTGAGATACTGAAAGAACTGAAAACCTGTTTGGCAAGTCCCGAGTTGGGAGGTAGCATGATCTTTGATGGTACTACAGGAAGACCAAATTTGGAACCAGAGACTGAGATTAGAGAACCAAGCCACCAGGTTCTTAAGTGGGGGACATATCAGCCAAACCGCCGAGCCGCCAAAACCGGAGGAAAAGGACATGTGCTCTGGAAGCAAATACTAAGAGAAGGATGACCATATAGACATCTAAAGTTTAGGTAATCTGACCCTTCCAAGTTGGTGGCTGGAAGTAAGGAAGAGACCAATAAAGAATCCAGAAAAGAAGGAAAGTTCGAATGTAGGTGCTGGGGTTGTGCGAACCCAATACAAGAGCAGGAGTACGTAACAACTACTAAAATAGAAAGGTTGTAGTTTGAGATACGAATCAGGTTACAGCAGTATCCTAAAAGATAGCTTGAGATATAAACTCGGTGGCAGCAACACAACAGGTACTAGATTAGGAAGAAGTTACCATATATGCAGGTAAATACATGTGTAGGACATGTACCACTCTGTTAGGTTTATCTTGAGGATAAAGTAGTCCTAGGTAGGGTGTGAAATCTATAGGTATCACAAAATCTAGCATATGAATAGTGAGTTACA